ATGTGACTTAGTTTTCTATGAAAGTGTGTATGTCTCAATAAATGACCTACATAACCACTTACCTGAAATTTTTGTTAGCTGTAAATCACAAAGGCACTGTTAGATGCAATTGAAATACTGTGACCATAGTCTAAACTGAACAAGAAATGTAAAAATAAGAAATCGACCTGAAAATTTCCTAAATTAATTTTACACTACTGAATATGCCATTCAATAGCATCGTCATTTCATGCAAGAGTAGAAATGAAGAAATGTTCACTAAAATCAAATACTAATAATTTATAGCCGAAAGGAGTAGCCATGAGAAGCCCACTTGGTCAACGATTTGCCGCTATATTCGTGTTAAATGTCAGTGTAACACGCTACTGATGTTAATGTATATTTTTACACAATGCATGCACGCGATATATTTATAAACTGTACAGATATATATATCAGAACTATTTTAAATATTGAAAAATGCCAATCCGAAAATCACTTCTCTGCTGGAACATAAGCATGGAAATAGCCTAAAATATCCATACAGAGATTCACCGTCGGAAAAACCAAATAAAAGTAGCATACATGGAATTGATAGCACCTAACTTACAACCACTTTTGATCAAAAGAATCATAAATGTGTAACTGTTAGAATATTATTTAGAAAAGCTAGAAATTCTTGCATAGAAGATAAAACAGGTGGCATTTTTATCCTTTAGATGCATTTTTCAAGCTATCTGAGAAGTCTTATCAAGAAGCGAAAATATTCTATACACTGTGAAGAAATAGTCTGCTTTTGTTCATTTGGTTTATAAAGATGATGGTGATTGAGAAAGGATTAGTAGAAGGGTATGACTCTTGTAAAAGATTATCTAACCGCAGCACTGGTTACGACGTGTATTAATCGAAAAACTGGGATATTTTTTATATATACTTGAAAAAGCATGTATATCGAAAGAAGGTAGAGGACTAGCCTGCTCTCTTTTTCTTAGTATTTTCCAAGGAGTAGGACATTTGGTGACTTGTAATCGTTCATAAATTCGATCACACGCTATTAATTCCACTCAGATCGCAGAATACATGTATCTACAGACTTCAAAATAATGAATAGACAATGGAGTTGTATGCTACTTTGCTGCATAGAATACTTTCCAAATTTTGTTTAATCTCGATTTATTTACCTTACGGTACCCCATTTTCAGCTTACAGAACTCAGGAGATTAAACGCTTCAACCTTGACCTTTATTTTCAGGAAAATGTAGTTAAAATTTGAGGGGGTTGTGGAGATTTGGAAATATTTCAAGTTGTTATTCATTCATGCTGAGGAGTCCCATACTAGGACGAAACAGCTGTCCAGTGCTCCCAGGTTTCCTTTGTTCCTCCAACTGATGTCAGTCTTCGATGAATAACAACTTGAAATTAATGCAGTATTTATTACCTTGGTAATCATGTTTTGTTCCGACTACTGCATATTATGTTTCTCTTTTTTTCTCTTATCCTTCCATTTTGCTTTTATTATCTATTCCATGCGTCTTACGTCATATAATTGCCACCTCTTTTATCTCTGTTCTGCAGATGCGTTATGATGATGAAGATGATTATCTTATTATGAAAATGGATGTCCTTTTATCATTATCATCAATTCTTACACCTTCTGATAAACCTTTCTTCCAGCAACTTATGAATACACCAACAACATCATTATCAATCGCACTGCCGATGTTCCTCATCTGATCTTGCTTGCTGTATCCATGCTTCCCACTATACATGATTATTTTGTTCTTAAATGAAGGTACCTTTCTAATTTTACTTATTGCTTAGTCCATATTTACCGTAAGCTATTTGAAGCGGACGAGCAGCAGTGAAATTATTCTGCTAACCTTCTTTTCATAGCCATCAATAAAATGACCAAGGGAACACGTACAATGAGGTAAGAGGAAAATACTGAGAAAAACTCACTTACATGATTTTGAAAAGGCAGCCTAAAAATATTGTTTTTCTCACAAAAAAGATTTTAGAGAACTAATTGCTTTCAAAGTCAGTTTAGCGCTCATGGACAGCAGCTATAAACTATTGGAAACTAGGATGTAGCGAACATTATTTTCACCATAATTATTAGAGAGCCCAAGCAGTGCATCGGCTCAATTGGTGGGCTGAAGGAATAACCTCAAACCCATTAAATCCTAGCAATGAGTGCGTTATTGCTCAATCACCAGTTTGGGAACTAGCGACTCGTATTTTCCATCTTCAAACCAGCACTGGACGGTAGGACACGATAATTCTCAGTAATATCTTAGGTCAAACAAGGACTGCGCACTACTGAGAGGTTAGTAGTCCCTCAGCTTTACTTATTATGCGGCTGTGAAAAGAATTCTTTGAAATATCACCTTCAAGAAAGCCTGTAATACAGAAATAATTGACTGCACACTGTTGTTTTCGAAGCGCTAATGGTATATGTATATATTCCGAAACGAATATAATATGTGCGCTTAGCTGACAGCTAACTTGGTACGCAAGAGTCACTGACTGCAACCCCGGGACAAATAGAGAGAAGACCGAAGCTGGCAGATGGGAGAGTGTATTACTCCGACAATATAATCTAATATAATGAATCAATCCAAAACACGTGAATAAGTATACACATAAAATATGACCTTGTCCGCAATTGGAGAAATTCACATAGTAAAAGTTAACCAATCAGCGAATTACATTTCAATGGGGACAGAAATAGACTATTAGTCATACCGTAAAAATAATGTGGGAATGACACGTTAAAATGTTCAGACCAATGTTTTATACAAGAGTGGGGCATCACAACACACACCTACTTAGTTTCATCTTCAGACTTGAGAAAATTCGAAGCAGCCTACTAACAGATTTTATCATATTATCTCTCCCTGAAAGAGGTTTCCGAAGATTCCACACTCTGAAAAATGTTGTCATATTGCAGTCCAAAGGGAGCTGTCGTGAGAGGTTCCTACAGTGAATATGATTTGTCAGAGATGTTGCTCTCTTCAACGTTTCCCTGGAAGAATAGACGGGAATCAAAATTCCTTCTCCTTACTCTATGCACGCGGATATCTTCACTAGAGAATTTTTAACCAACTGAAAGTTGGAGGGTTATATAATCCTGTTGGTTGAAGACAATGACTAGTCTTCTAAACGCTCTACATAGTAATCTGAGATTGCTTAGAATACTTTGGTCAAGTCCTAAGTGGAAACTTCGGGTTCACGACTGCTCTGTTACAACATTCTACCGAACAATAGAGGACGAATTAGTTTAATGAGTTGACTACTTTGATCACCTAGATGGTTGTATAGGACCTAACTGATAGATACCAATGGAATCTTGGCATAGCTATGAAAAGCAAAGTTGGTTTCCATAGGCCATCTCCATCTATGTCTCCGATGAGACGCATGAATTCCTAGTAAGCACAAAGTGTGGTGTGAAATAGTATGTTATGACCCACTAAACACCGTGAAACAGAAAGATTTGAATAGGCTTCAGGGATTCGACTGTCGTCGCCCCTGAACCAATAACTTACGTGTGGTACAGACGCACCGTGAGCAATGTAAGTATTGAACTGATATATTAAACCATGCAAACGATCATCGGCTGTTTGCTTAAGGTTTCCGAAATCCCCCAAATAAATAGTTGAAATCTTTCGGTAGTGTGGTACAAACAAAAGCGGCTCATTTTCATCTAAATCTTGACGCACATCCTATTTTTTTTGTTACTTTTGCTTTAGATCTTCTAATTTCGTCTAATCAATCAAGATACATATTTCGCATTTTCTTATCCTCCGTTTTGTAAACCTAACTCCATGATATTTTATAAATGATACCTAGTTACAGTAATGATGGATAATGGCTAGGCAGTAAAATCCAGGATGCACACTTCGTCCTGTTTGGGACTCGTCAGTTGGATATGCCTGCATCCCAGTGAGTGGTGCTGTTCCCACCAGGATTCGGACTCTGGACCGATTGCGCTTCACATGCCAGAGCGTTATTCACTAGACCACCGAGCCACGATAGCCACTTCTTGTGCGACGGGTATAGTTTTAGCGTTATTCCTTGTATTATATCGTCGTTGGTTGGACAGAACTGATAGATGGTATAGTGCAAGCGAAAACACTAAGACTATACGCGTTGCACAAGAAGTGGCTATCGTGGCTCGATGGTTTAATGGATAACGCTCTGGTGTTTGAAGCGACCGGTTCTGAGTTCGAATTCTGGTGGAAACATCACTCGCTGGGAGGCAGGTGTATACCTAATTGACGAGTCCCAAATAGGGTAAAATGTGTATGCTGGACTCCATTGCTGGCCACTACCCATCATTACTATATAATTAAAAACACAGGCAATATAGAGGCATTTGCGCAGGAGCCAATATGCCAATAGAGACCAATCAATTCGATCCAATCAGCGACGATGTAGTACAAGCAATATCACTGATATCCATCCAGTTACGTATTTAAGATGAACTAAGATGATAAAATGAGTATATTACCTCTTCTACATACTTTTTCTCAAACAAACTCTTGTTTATCGACACACCTGTTCGTCTTGATAGAAGAACACCAAGAAAAGTCATTTTGCATTCTAGCTCCTCTTCCTATAGTAAACTTCATCGCTAAGTGTAGCGCCTTGACTCTGTTGAGTATATTCGACCTATGCATATTGTTTTCGCACAGGATGAGGATATCATCCACATATCGTCAGAAAAATGAAAATTCTCTGATAGATCATTCAGTGAAAACATTCTCTAATTTCGATAGAAGGTCCAGTAATATGGGAGCGAGTGATTTGCTCAATTCTATACTATTATATTGACAAACTGACCAGTAAAATCTTAATATACTGTTGATTCCTAATTCCTGCATATGTATCTATAACTGTAGAGCCTGAAGAAATTATCGAAAATAATACTGTTCTCTCACTCAATGGTGAAGTACAGTGGTCTTCTTTTTAATATAATCTACTCGCCATTATATTGCCGATAAACGGTGATGAATTTCAAGTGAGGTATTCATCTAATGTATTTGAGAAAACAAAACGTTAGAAGAGAAAAACACAACTTAACCGGTTATCAGAATGTCATCTTTTACCACAGGTATACAGGTGTGTAAAGAGGTTAGGTTAATATATTTCCGGAGAACAAAAAAAAATATATGTAGATTCACACTACATGCAATATATATATATATATATATATATATATATATATATATATATATCGTTTACTTTAATGTAATGACATTAATTACCCCGGAAAGGATAGCTTTAGTGATGATCATAAAGACAACAGATACAATGATGCAGAAGAGAGAATGTCACATTTGAGGATATTCTATCTGCATGAAAGAGAATTACACTCAATTGGAATAACGTTACTTGAATAGAATGGTTGAACAATAGAAGTAAGAGCGATTTAAGAGGACAAAATGAAGTAGAAACTGATTTTACTAATGATAGTAATCTATATTACGTAATCCGTTGAGTGAACCAATCAGTAAGTCGATAGATGAATATACAAGCAACGTTCTCATGTACAGATGATATATAATTCTGTATGGTGGGTGGTGATAAATATATTTATGTTCATCTGTAACAGTAAATCATCACTGTGCACTAAACCATGAGTATAGACAAATAACAGTAATAAATATGCAAACAATTACAAACATATAGACAGACAGAACTCACAAGAACAGACATATAAAACTAAAAGCGACGAAAATTAAACATGAATCGAAACCGTACTATCATCATAGTCACATGTATCACACACACATACGCACACAGATATGAAAACCAAAATATACTGTCTTACCATGAAAGGAAAGCGAAAGTCAGTATAGCAACAAAAATGTGAAGAAAGGAAACCAAAAAGTACAAAATATGAAAGCGTTCAAAATAAACGACAAATCACATAATATTGAATACACATCTATATATCTGTATGCACACGTATACATATATCACAAGTTTTTAAAAGTGTAAGTCATAAACAGCTGAAGAAAATTCGAAGAAATTATCTGTTTAAGTGTGCACATCTGCACTTCATACAACAGATGAGTATGTGAAAATCTAATAATACTTAAGTGAAATTAAATCACGTCTATCAAAATTGCATCAACATTGAGGACTGGAATATAGTCAAATAGATTCACCGTCATATATCAACAGCAGAACCTTTTGAAAAAACACGCTGAAATTCATACTGCAAGTTTTTCTACAACTTTTCGTTTCCAATGAATGAATATTATGTTAGGCCAAAATACTTTTTAAAACAAGAATATTACAGTTAATTTTGACATATCACAAAGACTACTGTTAATCTATTAAGTAGGCAGACAAAAATGACAAAATAAAAGGAGGGAGGAGTAGACAATTATGGCTACCAAAATAGACACAATGAGGTGAACAGTTAGTTAGAAGTAGTTGCATATCATCATATTGTTGATTTTTACGACACTGAAATATCAAAACAGTGTCAATAATCTTATTATCATTATCACTGTGAGTGAACACCAATGAAAAGGAATGTTTGTTAAACAATATTAAACATAATGTATGCATAGTTTATATTTGTACCAATTGAATAGTATCATTTCATCCATGAATTAAAGGAACCATCTAGTTGATGTACAACTGTGCAAAAGCAATCACCCGAAAGGAATGGTGAAAATCTGTGAAAAGGATATTATTAAGCATCTAAGCACAGGTTGTATGAACAAGTAAGTATTCAGCGAATTCTTTTAATATATTATGTATTACTTATGTAAATCAAGCTGATAAGAAATATTCAGTAGAAAAGTGGATTCAAGGGAAAGATGAACCAAATATTGTCTTTCACACATTCTGCGGTATATTTACGCGCAGTAAACATATATATGTATATCCCATATAGCAGTGTATATATAAAGGATGATAACGAAATACAGATAGCAAGTGAATGGAAAAAGGAGAATAGACAAGACAATAACAAAGGAAAACCAGATTCATAGACAGATTAACTTCTTTATGACAGTGAATAATAGTCGGTATGAAGAAGTGAAACGTACAAAAAGCAAACATAACACGAGTGTATGGAATGGCAAACGAGATGTTCTGTAATGCGAACAAATAAATGATACAAATTGACTATTAATTTTATCAAAAGAAAAAAAAGAATGAACACAAAAGAAGAAATAAATAAAGTAAGACATAAGTTATACTGATCAACTTAAAAAAAAAAAAATTCAATGAAATGGAATAGATATAAAGAGTTGATAATGATGTTGGTGTCAATAGTCTAATGTCAATAAATTTATGGATTTATATAAGAGATCATGGTACTAAATCCATCAGTTATACTTTTTCTTAATGGTGTATAGATATACTCCTGAAAGCTGCTAACCAATGAATTATATCGGAAAGTATTATACAAATAATTTTCAGTATATTGATTAGATGTAGCTGGTGTAGTTTCTAATATAACAATTATTCCAACTAGTACAAAAAATGATGTTGCCATTAAAGCAACAGTACACTTTCTTATTAAACTTGACTGTTGATTAATAGAGTATTGTTGATGATCATTTTGAAGTTTATAACTATGAATACTAGGTGATGAACATTCACTATTAGTAGTTGATTTAATACTTTTAGATGGTCCATTAGAATAAATTTTATAGTCATCTGATAAATGAATAACTTCATCATTTAATGTATTCATATATGTTTCAATTTTATATTTTATCACTTCATTCGGTTGAGATAACTTGATATGATTATCTAATGCTTTGTCTAATGCATTAACTGCTTGTGTATAATCAGCTGATTGTAGAATTGAATTTTCAACACGTTTACGTACTATCATTTCCGACTGGAAATTAATATAATTAACACAAAAATGAAATTATTCATAAATATATATATATATATATATATATAAAAAAGTAAAATTAATAAGTTATGTATTCATATATATATATATATATATATATATATATATATATATATATATAATGGTATGTAAATGAAAAATGATGATATCTATGTCAAAATAATAGACATTTAATCAAGCTACTTAACACTTTTAATTATAAAGTCTAGACTTCTTCAATCATTTGATGATAGATTGCATGAACTGAATACACATCTACAACATATAATACATCGTCCCAACTCTTTTCCCTTAAATATTATTACATTTTGTGACATTCAAAAAATAAAAATGGTAATTTATTCGACTAATTTCACTTTAATACAGCAATGATACACTTAAACAGGTTTCAAATACTATAAATAATATGTGGTTATTGATGCTGGTTCATATCTCAAGTTGTTATTCATCGTAGACTGATATCAGTTGGAAGAACAATAGAGACCTGGGAGGACTGGACAGCTGTTTCGTCCTAGTATAGGATTCCTTAACAGTACGCACCCACGAAACCTCGCCTGGTTAACTAGTCTACTAGTTACTAGCCGGTCCTAAGCCCGGGTAAAGAGGGAAGGTTGGGCATAGGGCTAGCAACCCTACCCCGTAAAACAAATCTAACCGCTAAAGAAACTTCAAAGCACAAACAAAATATAAAAAATGAAAACAAACTTATTCCCCGCTGGAATCGGAGAGGCGAAATGACGCCAGTTGGTGAAAGCCTTCGGGAAGCCAATTGGCCGATGTGTCTTCTCTCGATGAAAGCGAAAGTAAACGTGGGGACATGGAATGTCCGCACGATGTTTGAACCCAGTAAGGCAGCCCAGATTGCAAGGGAGATGAGAAGGTATCACATCGAAGTGCTTGGGATTTGCGAAAGCAGATGGAATGGGAGTGGACTCTCCAAACTGTCAACTGGAGAATCAATAATCTACTCCGGTCACCCAGACGCCAACCACGAGCACACTGAGTTGGAGTGGCTATCATGATGTCCTCAAGAGCATCGAAGGCTCTCATGCAGTGGGAACCAATCTCCTCCAGGATCATGACAGCAAGATTCAACTCAAAAGGAAGAAAGGTCACAATCATACAATGTTATGCACCTACAAATAATGCAGAGCAAGAGAAAAAGGAGGATTTCTACAGACAACTTCAATCAACACTGGACAAGACGTCAGTTGGCGATATCAAAATTCTGATGGGCGACATGAATGCCAAACTGGGAGTGGACAACACGGGAAGAGAACTAACCATGGGTCGAGAGGCGCTAGGTGAAATGAATGAGAATGGAGAATTGTTTGTAGAATTCTGTGCATTCAACGATTTGGTGATTGGAGGCAGTGTGTTCAGGCACAAGGATATCCACAAAGCGACATGGACTTCACCAGATGGACACACTAAAAATCAAATCGACTTTATCTCAATCTCAAGAAAATGGAGACGCAGTCTACTTAACACAAGGTCAAGAAGAGGAGCAGATGTAGGTTCACACCACTCACGATCGAGTGCAAGGAACCTTCCAAATCAAGTTAAAAGCCTTCAAGGAAGCTGGTGATAGACCTCAATTCAAGTACAACACTCGGAAACTGAAGGATGAAACTACGAAGGAGATCTTCACATCAGTCAGCCATCAAGACAAAATGGGAGACATCGAGGGACATCCCTGAAGAAACCTGTGTGGAAGAACACTGGAAGTCTTTGAAAGCTATGTGGAAAGAAACCTGCACAGCCGTATTAGGAAGGAAGAAGAAAGAAGACAAGGAATGGATCTCGACGGATACCTGGAAGCTGATAGAGGAGAGGAGGATAGTGAAGCAGAAGATAAACCAGTGCAAGGATGCTCAACGACAAGAGGAACTGAGCACAATGTATAAAACACTGGACAAAGAAGTGAAGAAGAGTGCACGTAAAGACAAAAGACACTTCTACGACACATTGGCAAGTGAAGCAGAACAGGCTGCAGGTAAGAGAGACCTGACAACATTGTATCAAATAACCAGGTTGCTATCAGGGAAGAGACCAACACAGATGAAACCAATAAAAGATGAAGAAGGAAATTTAATTACAAAAGAAGAGAAACAGAGGAAACGATGGGCCGATCACTTCAAGAAGCTCTTGAATCGACCACCACCTGCACTTCGTCCAGAAATACCACCTGCAGCCGCTGAATTACAAGTGAACATAAATCCCCCAACGAAAATGGAAGTCCTGAACGCCATAAAGCTACTGAAATGCGGGAAAGCAGCAGGACCAGATGGAATACCGCCAGAAGCACTGAGAACAGATGCAGAGACAACAGCGGACATGCTCACACCACTATTGCAGAAGGTGTGGAAGGAAAAGAAGGTACCTGACGATTGGAAGAAGGGTTACCTTGTCAAACTGCCGAAGAAGGGAGACCTCAGTGCTTGCAAGAACTGGCGCGGAATCACTCTCCTGTCCACCCCACGTAAAATATTAAGCCGCATCATCCTGGAGAGGCTAAGGGATGCACTGGATTCAAAACTACGACCGGAACAGGCAGGCTTCAGGAAGTACAAATCATGTGCAGACCAAATTGCAACGCTTCGTATCATCATAGAACAGAGCGTAGAATGGCAATCAGCTCTATACCTCAACTTCATCGACTTTGAGAAGGCCTTTGACAGCGTCGACCGAGAAGTAATTTGGAAACTGCTTCAATACTACGGAGTACCGCAAACCTTTATCCGCCTCATTCAACAACTATACGAAGATGCCACATGCCAAGTAATCCACAATGGGAAGCTCAGTGATGCCTTTGAAGTGAAGACAGGAGTGAAACAAGGTTGCCTACTATCCCCCATGATATTCCTTATTGTGGTGGACTGGATCATGCAGCAAACAGTAGGCAGCGAGAAGAGGGGGATACACTGGACGACGGAAAAGAACCTAGAAGACTTGGATTTCGCCGATGACTTATGCCTAATGTCACATAAACTTGAAGATCTGCAGGCAAAAACTAACAAGTTGACAGAAGAGGCAGCCAAGACGGGACTTCAGGTGAATATAGAGAAGACAGAAGTGATGAAGATACCGCACCACCACCATCAACAACAACAACAACAAACTCCAATCACCGTCAACGGGAGAAACTTGAAGGAAGTAACCTCCTTCACTTATCTAGGAAGCACTGTTTCAACTACAGGCGGGACAGACGAGGACGTCAAAGTCAGAATCGGAAAAGCAAGACAGGCGTTCATTAGCCTGAAACCAGTGTGGAGATCTTCTGCACTCAGCATGCGGAACAAGATACGGATTTTCAACACCAACGTCAAGTCAGTGCTCTTGTATGGCTCAGAGACTTGGCGCGTCACGAAAGGCATTTCCAATAAACTACAGACATTCATCAACAACTGCTTACGCTCGCTGCTGAAGATCAGATGGCCAGAAAAAATAAGCAACAAGGAACTCTGGGAACGAACCAACCAAGAACCTATCACGCAACAAATATGCAGGAGGAAGTGGAGATGGATTGGCCATGCACTGAGAAGGCCGACTGAGGACATCACGCGTCAGGCCCTCGAGTGGAATCCCCATGGGAAGCGACGAGTTGGACGTCCGAGGGTGACATGGAGGAGGTCATGCGAGGAGGAAATGAGAGCTTCTGGGCTGTCGTGGAACCAGGTTCAAAAGATCTCAGAGAACAGAGGTCACTGGAGGCGTGCTACTGAAGCCCTATGTTCCACTAGGAACCCAAGGGACTAATAATAATAATAATAAACGCACCCACGATCTTCAGGTTCTGTGGCCAGCACGTTACCATTGAGCCACTGGGTTAGAATCCAATGGTTCATATTTCCAACTTCTGTTGTTCCTCAAACTGATGTCAGTCTACGATAAAAATAACAACTTGAAATATTTCCAACTCCCTACAACTCCCTCAAAAAAGTGATATTCACAGTTATTCGTAGAATAATAGTGGCTAAAAGTTAAACTGTCAAAGTTGATCATATCAAATGGTTGAAGAGTTTGAGGGTGGAAAAACACGATTGATGGCTGGGTCTTAGGAGACTAGAGATGGGGTTTCGATGGATGTGATCACTGGTAATAATTAGGTTTTGTATACTACTGGAAGTCTGCGGGCGGTTGACACTTCACAGTTGCCCATACTAGGGAAGGCTATTTCTTTCTAAGGTTCCCGAAAGAGAAAAAGATTTCCTTGACCGCAGAGCCTAAGGGATATCTGCATGTCATACATGGCTTTTTGTAGGATATTGTTTTCAAGTTTGGTTGTCCTAACGCCGATTAGGAGAAACCCACACCATAGTCACCGAAAGACCGTGGAGCAGGGCGGGGTCTGACCTTTTAGGACGCTTCCCCTTCCCGTTAGGAAGACAACATCAGGGTGGCACTGCCAGTCATCAAAGGGAAACACCTTACTACTGTCACACCTCATCCAGATAGTAGCAGTACGACTTCGCTCTCAGATTTCCATCATATCACAGCAGTTTACACTACAACAATAACTCCATTATCAAGCAGACCTTTCTGGCGTGGTACGACCTTAAAAGAAAAAACGTTTCAGCAGTGTACCTCGTCGGTCGAAATACAAGCCCGACCATCCAGTCAAGGTAGTAGTTACCGGCCGGGGAGGGGGACGCGATGCTTTAGAGTGACATCACTTAGGGGTAGATAGAACGAATTGGCATTCAAGCACTATGCATAAGTTTAATTCCTTAATCTATCATTTCACGCGAATAAACTAATTCCTAAATATAGACAACCAACATCGAAAACCCATTTACTTTCACATTCCTAAGGCATAAGAATAAGATCGAAACCATTATGAACTACAAATAAATGTGATCGTGTGTGTGTGTGTATGTATGTATGTATGTAATATAGGTGGATTATATGGATCCAGTGTATTAAATCATCAAGCGGTAGTTGTTCAGAATAAAATTCATGCAATCATCCTTAAAACA